ACTCTTTTAAAGGATTCTGCTCTCCAGGAGAACAGAAAATGAGGTGCTAAGTGGAGGGAGGTGCAGGGCGGGGCAGGTTCAGTTCCTGAGACAGGTGGGTCATGGAGTGTTGGAGAGCGAGGACCAGGAAAGAGCAGAGCGCTGGGAGGCAGATGGCACAGATGCTAGGGTAGCCTCCTAGAAGAGGGGATGTGGATGGACACCAAGCCTCAGTGGCAATGACCAGGGCACTGGGGCAACAGGTGCGGGAATGTGATGCCACACAAGGAAGCCTCCTCTGAGTGTCTCCAGACTCTCAGAGAAATCGAAATCAGGGCATCAATGAGAGCAGCGCTGACCAGCCAGAAGAAAGCAGAAATGATTCGGCCAAAAAGGGCCCACCTGAGTTTAGTGATCCAGATTTAAAAGCCAGTCCATTCACTGTGGTTTGGGGTCTGTCCCCAGCCATGGTTTGGACAAGCAGGTACAAAGGTAACCAATGACAAATTGTCACTGGTCAGCTCTCAAGTGGAAAAACCAAACAGTGAAGGTCTTTGCAGCCAGCCAGGAACTCCGGGAGGGCGTGGGGTAATGAGACCAGGCTCCAAGGCAAGCGCACGCGGAATAACCTGCTGCACAGGGCTGCGGGGACGACGTTCAAGAGGAGGCTAAGGACAGAGAGGCTTCACCACGACACTGAATGAGGCAGCCAGGGAAGCCTGTGAAGCCTGTAGCTGGAATCAGGGGCTTCGTTCCTTTGCGCAGTTGCTCACCTCCAGCCCTGCCGCTGACCCCCCACTTACCTTGGGTGCCTCCCCCTTGCTGCCGGGGGGCAGCCGCAGGACCCAGAAATTCCTGTTGCGCAGCAGGTTCTCCAGGTTCTCCAGCCGCCGCTGCAGCAGCCCGTACTCCTGCAGCAGGGTGCCCAGCACGGCCCACTTGCTCTCCATGTGGTTGCCGAACTCCACAGCCGTCTTCTCGCAGTCGGCCAGCTTCTTCTCGGCGGTCCCGGTGCGTCCCTCCAGGTTCAGCAGCTGACTGGCTTGGGCGTCCACCTTCCTCTCCACAGCCTGAATGGCAGCCACCACGGTCCAGAGTGAGATCTCCGCCGTGGGCAACTGGGGCTCCCGCATCATGCGGTCAGGGAAGACAGGCGCCCTATCTGGGAAGGGTGGGAACTGAAAAGGCATTGGTCGCCGGGCATCCATGTCCCATTCTTGAGCCTGTGTGCAGAGGGAAAAAGCGACAGCCCAGTATGAGAATATGCGCGAGAGGGGAAAGTGGCTTGAGGACAGGGGACAATTAATCAAATGCCACCGATTGTCTTTCTTCTGCCAAGCCCTACCTCCAGCCATGGTATTCATTAATGCTCCCAGCGAAAGTGAGAGCAGCCATCTAGCCCTCCCCCAAACCCTAGCCCACTTCCTGCCTGTGGGGAGTCAGACTGGCCACCAATTCACCTACTTTGACATCTGGAAGTCAAGGCTGTGGGCCCTTGTCTAAAATGTTCAGACTCTCTCTCTGAACAGAGCAGCTGTTTTCTTCATGGGCTAGATTTAATTGTAAATTTCATATTAGCCCCGTGTTTTTGTTTCAGGGTAAGAATTTTCATGTAAACTTTCTGATGCTAATCTTCCCAGCAGGTTAGGACAAGAACGATTATCTCTACTTTAAAGATGATGAAATTAAGGCATGGAGAAGCAGCTGGTCATTCCATAGTACCACCCTGCACTGCCAACGGGCACACCTGTGGGTGCTACAGGTAATGCCAACCTTTCAGGTATGTGCTGCTACCACCATTCCTATTAGGGCTGCAGACCAGGGAGATACCAGATGCCCAAGCTAGAGAACAGGCAATCGGGGGTGGGGGGGCTTGTTGTTTCCCTTTTCCTTATAAGACTATTCTTTCATAAATAAGTTGCAAAATGAAAATAGATTAACTAAAAAAATGTCATTCATTCAAAATTCTTCATTCAAGAGGAGTGGACATCCCTCACCCTCCACAAGGGCTAAGAGTAAAAGCTCTGGGACCCTCCCTGCTTCCTGAGAAGGAGGTTCCCCATGGCCTGAGACCTCCTCCTTTATCTTTCTGCACAGAATCCTCACCCCAAGAGTAAGGCCAGTGGGTGCAGGTTGGGGGCTAAGCGCTATGTCTAGAAAGGAGAGTGGAGGGTGGCCACAGCTCTTTGGGGATCTGAGAACCAGTGACATACTGTTCTAGTATTCAGGGCTCCACAGGCTGAGAACCAATTCTTCCTGCTTGGGTCAAGAGGAGGTTTCACTTTTTGTTCTCCCTGTTGCTGTGAAGAGGCCCTCCAGCTGGGAAAGTGGAGGGATTTGGCTTTGAGGTGGACTGGACAGGCCAGTGACAAGCATGCCTGCTACTCTCCCAAACTCAGAAGCTGTCCCCACAGTGTCCTGAGACTCTCTCCCCCCCGGGAGAGAGGAGAGCAGGCTCTGGGGCTGCAGTCCGGGCTGGGTAGGGCCCGTTGCCTCTTCATCAAAGGCACCCACGGGGCTCAGGGAGGATGCACTCTGACCTAGCCAGAGAAGAGGGCAAGGGCTGCCAGTGGAAGTTTGAAGACCTGAAGCTGAGAATCGATCAAAGAATACACAGCAGCTCCTGGCCGGCTCCTCCGGTGGGAGCAGAGGGGCCTCTGCGGAGGCCATTCGAGGGTGGCCGCAGAACCTCTGGGGAGGTGCTCAGGCCTGAGAACCTCTTCCCTGGGTTCTATGTCAGCCTGGGGCGCTGGCTCTCAAACGCCGCACCTGAGACCACGTTGGAGCCTAAAGAAAGACCGGCGCCTCCTCCACCCCCAGGGGCTGGAGCTGACCGTTCAGGGACGCGGCTTGGGCGGCGTCAGCTGTCTCCGGAGCTGCTCACAGGACTCCAGTATGCGGCCAAGTTCGCCGACCCCAGACGACCAAGTCACCTCCCCACAGTCCCTTCCCAGGATCGCACCGGTGCCGAGGAAAAGTGGGTGGCTCATTATACTTGGGAGAGATGGCGCTGAAACATTTTGCGATCTTGCCGTCCACCTGGCTGCGGTGTAACCTGGACGAGGCGATCGCCCTGCGGCGGAGCAGGAGGCCTGCCGCGAGCC